ATGTATAATAATTATGCCTAAAGATATCCAGCTAGCACACCGCATACATGGAAAGTGTGCTTAAGAATCCACTAAGAGCCAGGCACCTATAGTTCACACCCGTAATCCTGGCTACTCATGAGGCTGAGATCTGAGGATCACAGTTCAAAGCCAGCCTGGACAGGAAAGTGTATGAGATTCATCTCCAGTAAACCACCAGAAAACCTAAAGTGGAGTTGTGGTTCAAGTGGTAGAGGGCTAACCTTGAGCTAAAGAGCTGAGGGACAACACCCAAGCCCACAGTTCAAGCTCCATGACTGACCAAAACAAACAAACAAAAAAAGAATCCACTAAGATGGAAGGCATTTCATTCTCAAAGTTCCCCCCGCCCTTTCCTTGTTATCAGTAGTTCTGAATGTACCTAAGTATATTATTGCCAGTGGAAATATCAGGCATAGAAATCAGGTATTGGCAATTGTTCCATTTTCATTTGTGTGTGAATTTTTTATATAACTGTGGGGATATAATATGTTTCAGTGAACAAGTTTCAGCAGTTCAACTTTATAATAATTATAAATAAGCCTGTTAAATTTTTCTGAAAAAAAAAAAACAAAAAAAGAATACAAAGGGCCTACTACAAGCCTTACACCCAAGACACAACTGCTGCTGTTATGTGGAGTTTCCAATAGCTCACCTCCACTAATACAGCTGTGTTTCCTTCGTGTAGCAGCCCAATCAAGCCTTCTTTGGTCTTCCTTCCATGGAGCTTGGCAGCTTTGCTCCAGCCCTCTTTCTGGGCTTGCTTGTGAAGCCACATCTCAGCCTAGAAATTGGAAAGGAAAAGGGCAGAGGACAAAGTCAAACTTCATAACAGTGCTGATTTAAAATATGTTCAAAGTGACTGATTCCTTCCACTTCCCCTAAATTCTATAAATATAAACGAATGCAATTTATCATTTACTGGCAGACTGCTACTAGATGCTGATTATCAGGCATTGTAGTAAATAGTGCTTTGGATAAATTTAATCTTCACAACAACCCTAGGGGCAGATGGCAGTATTTTCATTGTACAGATAAGAACACCACAAGTCTGAAAGATTCGCTGAAATATCCATTGTTGGTATGAAAGCACCGTAATTTAAACCCTGGTGGGTCTAACTCCAAAGCTCACCCGATAACCTTCTCAGCTTCAAGCAGCAGAAAGTTTCCCATGGAGTACTAACCCTAGGATCCTGAATTAATTGCTTCCAAGTAAGACAAAGTCAATGGGTTGAGGTCGTTTTATGCCAGAACTGGACACCATCCTGCCATTAAGGGCCCATGGGCTGCTGCTCTTATTTATCCACGCTTGCCAGTAAGGCTGAAGTTAGGCCCTCGCCCCACTCCCTCCTCGCCCC